ATTTCGTGGATTTTCGACCACCCAGTTTTTACTTTGATGGGATTTCTCGACTGCTGTCACATTGGCAAAAGTGTGCTGATTCGAATGGTGCCTATTTCGATTAAATCCGATGAGTATTAAAAAAGTTACGATCGTTTAAAGTGAAACACCCAAAACGCTGAGAACTTTCCGGACAACCTAATAAAAGCTGCACCATATCATTAAGGCCCGCAATTAGTCCGGATGAGTCCATAACAGCCGGAAGAAGCATAACTGCAGAGTCAGCGGCACTTGACCTCACCTTTCTAATGCCTCTGATCAAATCTTATCAGCAGCTTACAGTTCTTGGCCCATACCCTATATCATATCTTAGAATCAAGAGCTAGCTGATGCTGTCACCCGCGTTATGAATATGGTGACCTCCCCCTTCTAACGCCTCTTATCGGATCTTATCAACTGATATCACTTCCTGTCACCCACCAATAGTGTTCCCGTCACACCCCTACAACACTTCTTGAAATCAATGTCTCACTGCTATTGGGACGGGCGCTATGAATTTCGTGACACACACACGAACACACACACAGACATACATAGCGGATTATATATAGTAGGATAGCATTCTAAGGCGTACTTGATTTGAGCAAACAAAGTTTTCATGTGCAATTGAAAAATTGCATGTAAGTATTAAAAAGCGCGACTTTGGTTTGTTCCAAGTTTTTTTCCCCGTTTGTAGCTCCTGCCAACGTATACCAGCGTCCCACCGTTCACCAGCGACCGGGAATAGAGAGCATGGGGATAAAGAAGGGTGGCAAACAGTTGGTTCAGGCGTCGTGAAACTACGGTGTGTGCAACCGCAGCCGTACAGCTACACTACACCGTACATTAAATTGCATAATTCTGTGCTTTAGCAGATGTGCGGTACGGTTACCCACGCCACAATTCACGACCCCTAATCCAGCTGTTTCATGCTGTCTAGTCTCGATCGCTCTTGAACGCTGGTAGACGCTAGATTGAAACCTATGCTGCTCTAGCCCTCAAGACGCTGGCAGACGATGGCGGACTCTGGTAGACGCTGGCAGACGATGGTGGACTCTGGTAGACGCTGGTAGAGGCTGGCAGATGCTCGCAAGGCTAGTGGATACTGGTAGACGCTGGTGGGCGCTGCCTCAGAGTATGAATGCACCCTTACTGGCTCTCGATGATTAACGGGAGCACAAGTGATACCTGTCTCATTGCCACTAAATATTGGGTTGGCGGGAAACCTTTGATATATTTTTTTTTTCAAATTAGGCTTTCTTTTTATAGAGAGGCGTACAAGATCAAAATTATACAGCAATGTTATTGCGGGGTCTTGCCAGTTTTTGAGCACCTCATGGATGCCATCGCTTCGCCGGCGCGACGCAAAGTTGGACATCATCTCAATTTTGACTTGAGCTCGGGTCGTGGAGGTTTTCTCGTCCATATAACGGTTAAGTACGGGAGGCAACTAGCAGTTAGAAGGAGCAATGTCTGGCTACACCGGTGCAAGGGGAGAGCCATCCAGCTCTATGCATGAGGTTGGCTCGAACTTTTTGGGAGGGGTAGGCTGCACTATCACGTTGAAGACGGACTGTGCGGACAAATTTTTCCCTCTGATCGACGATTCGCTTCAGATCTCGTAGCTGCTTTGCGTACGGATTGACCGAGGAAGCAGCTTCTTCATCCAGCAGTTTCACGACCCGCAGCTCCCTCAATCTGAGTTCACAGGTAACCCAAACCTCACTTCGTCATCAAACTGTAGGCTCCCGCTTTGAAGCATTAGCGTCGTGGAAGGTTGTCCGATAATTGAGGGCATCGTCCTTATTCAGCTCCATTATTTTGGCATCGGCAGCTGTCATGCTGGCGTCAGGGTGGTAGAAAAGAGTTTGAGGAAGCGCTTGGAGGGGTTGGTGCCGATGGTAGCGGATAACATTCTTGTCCATGTTGCAAAAAAAAAGAAGCAGAAGTCAAGCGAGTGGTACTAAT